AACTGGCTTCCAGACAGAAAGCTGGTTGCTGTATAATACATTCGTCTTCTTTCTCCCCTCTCTGTTGCTTGTATATTCACTGCTGGGTCTAGCCTCTAAGGAAGAGGTTACTGTCTGAATTAAAGCCATGAGTCAGTGGGAATAGAGTCCAAAAAATGCCCATATTCTTGCTGTTAACACATTGAAGAGTATGTTATGCTAAAGTTCAGCTGCCAGCATTTTCATTTATTCTGACTCCTACTTCAGGGAAGTGCTGAGGTTATTTCTTGAGCAGTCAAGGCAATTTCACTGGACCATGAAGCAACTGAGCTTCTGTGATGAACTCTTATCCCCAGTCCATAATAAGTGAGACATAGCATATACAGGGAATAAGGTACAATTGAGTACATTCAGTTTATACTGTTTCTCAGAAAAGCTTTAAAGCAGCAAACTTCGGCTGTGAGACTACTTCTCCTTCAGTGTCCTCCCACCAAAATGACCACACAGCAGATGTTTTGTTAAGTATATTTTCTTTGATACATCACCTTTTGCTTGGTTTTTGCTGGTTTGATTGTTCCTGGGTTATTTTTTGGAAGACATTTTTCTCTTTTTCCTAGCCAAACTATCAATGAATGTCTTTAGAGAAAACAGACCTTTTCAGCAATAGCTTGGTTGCTCTCTCTTGAGTTGAATGATACAAAACCTCTCTGAGCAACAGGGAGGCCTGAATGGATTTCATTATAATATGATGTAAAATATGGGTCTTGCACAGTCATAATCATGCACTTTCACAACAATTATTTCCTCTCCTGATTGGAAGAGGACTGTGCCTTGGTGAATCATTGTGAATATAAACCACCTAATAGTTCATTAAATCAGTATGAGAAAAGTAGTACAGTAAAACCAATGTCCAGACTGCAAATGAACTGTGGCAGCTTCAAAACTGAAAGTGGGTCAGCTGAGGTACACACAGAGCGAGCCAGAAGGTCACAGAGGCATTTAGAAGACCATGGGCTGCAGCAGGAGAGCACTGGGACTACCAGCATAGCTACACATCCTCCTTGCACTGACACCATAGTTTAAAAAAACAACCCAACTTGCCCAGAGACATTGAATAAACTTGCTTTGTTTACACACCTTTAAAAAAAGATGCAAGGTGCAGTCTGGAGGATCGATATCTGTTATCGTGCTTTGTCTTCAACTGCTGGTCATCTGCACAAACTAGTGAGAACTCCCATGGGCAGGGAAGCCAAGTCCACCTGTGTGGGATGATTGGACCAGGGTGTTCTGTGGGTCTGCATCTCAAGGATGAGCTTTTGTGAGGATTTGCTGATGTCAAAGTGCTGTAAACAATTTTGGGGGTTCCCCTACCTTCCCCACAAGCTGCTTTCATGAGGCATTTGGGGGCACTCTGTCACACACATGGCTGTGACTGAGCAGTGAGTTTAGCATTCATAGGGAGGAACAGAAAGACACCCCTAAAAAGGCGGAGAGTTGGCATGCTCATTTGGGCCTTCCCTCTAGAGGAAATCAGGCCAAAAATTACTTTTATCGCAAAAAAATCTCCAGAAATATATACTGTGGTCAAGTGCCAAATTTGGAAAACATCAACCCCAACACAGGAATTTGGAGAAAAAGTATGACTGCAAGGAAATACTTTCCCATAAAAAATGGTAAAATGCGTAGCTTTAGCTACCACAAAAGCGAAAAATGAAGATGCTGGAATTACTGAAAGACTGTTTGTCCAGTTGCAAGGGTTAATTTGTTTTTCAGTGATAAACTGAGCTGGATGGTGCCATAAACTGATCAGGAGCTTTTGTAGAGCTTTTTTTTCCCCTGTACAACAAGACAGACTGCAGACTGCTAATGCAGCTTTGTTTACACATTCGGTTCATTCAGCTGATGGCCACTGCCACATATGAGGCGAGACACAGGTGATTTCTTCCCAGAAAGGGAATTTGTCCAGCCTTAAGCAGAGTTCCCTCAAGAGACCACTGGTAATGGCAGACAGCACTGACCTAAAAATACCTGGTTGCCAAAACAAGATCGTCTCATTTTCCTTTGCTGGCTTGGCCAAAAGTCAAGTTCATTCTTCAAATCTCTTTGGGGTTTTTTTTTTGTTTTTTTTTTAAGGTTCCTGTGAGCAGTGATTAACAATTCCTGTATTCATGTTGCGACGATGGTGGTGTGATACCGGTGCGAGCGTGCCAGCTCTGTCACAGTCTAGACATGCAGGTACACATGATGTGCTCACACCCTGTCATCTGACAGGCCTGCAGGTAGCAGAGATGTATATCTCCTCAGTGAGTTTTAATAACCAAGGCGCTAAAGCTGTGAAGTACCAAGCACTTCCTACCCACCCACTTCTTTGTCAGATTAAGCCTAAATCTCTCTGAATGTGTGTTTCTTTGCTAGGACAATATTTAGGATATATTTAAAATCTTTTCTCTTTTACAGCTGCACAATTCGGTTCACTTGTTTTAACTGCAAAGCTGTTTCTCAGAGACCAAGAATAATAATGTAAAAACTATGAAGTTAATTTAAGATCTGGTGATGATCAACCAGTTTCAAGCAACTCTTCAGTGTTTCAGATGGACTCATTTTCAGACAGAGTCAGCTACAGCTGGGACACTTGGAGAAGTCAGCTCAGTTTTCAGGGGGTCCCTTCAGTCTTCACTTCTCATACTTTTCCTTGGCTTTTTTATTCTTCTCTTCACTCCTTTTACATCTCTGTTCCTCCTAGCTCTTTCCTCCCTTCTTATACAGCTTTATCCTCTCCTCTTTTCTTGCTAACACTGTCAGCTGCAGCCACAGCACAAGCAGAACTAAACATTTTCTGTGTCAGCCCTCCAGGAATGAGTAGTCTAAGACCCAAGAGCTGAGGAAGGAGAACACGAAGGACCAGATCATCACAGTACGGCCACCTTTTAGTCATTATCCCAGCCCTGGTGGGTTTGGATTCCTCTAACCACAGCCCTGATCGTCAGTGCCCCTGAAGTCTATTTACAACTTGTTTAATAATTTCCACCAGCTGGCCCTTATTGAGAGTGTCACTCAGTATTTATGTAACAATTTCATGTATCAAATAACATGGCAAAAAACTACATCCTAACCAACTTTATTGTTTTTAGGCTGATAAATTTTTGTTTTTAATTAACAGGCATTTGTTGTCAGTAGTTTTCCTCTGGAGGTTCTCAAAACCCTGTTGGGAACGAGCATTCAAACCTCCTTTCTCCCCAGCAGATTTTGGATCAGGCCCCCAGTGCTGAAACACAGTGTTTGAAGGTCATTTTTCACTTCTAGGATCAACAACCTGGAAACAAAGGAGCGCAATTAAAATTAATGTCCCACACAGTTTAAAAAATAATTGTGAATGGCTTCGAAACCTGACATTTCAACTGGGAATGTAGTTGATTTAATAACAATGAAAAAGCAACAATCACATGAGGACGCTGCAGTCATATGATTTTTTTGCATAGTCAGTCACAGCTTTGACTTTGATATATGCTCCCTCTCCTTTCTGCCAGATGAGGGCTTAGTTTAAACAAGCCTTATATCCCTGAGGCTATTGCCTTCACCCTTCTCCTTGGCCGACAGTAGGAGGGAGGGTTGGACCCAGCCAGGAGGGTGCTGAAGCACCGAGTCTGCGATGCACAGGACTGGACATCAGAGCCTGCGTCACTGAGAGAAATGCTGGCTGGCATGCTCCGAGTAGTGACAATTACTTACACAGCTAACAGAAAATGCTAGAAAAATGGAAGAAACTAAAAACAAAAAAAAAAAATAAAAAGAGTAAGTAGTCACAGTTCTAAAATCTCCTTCGTTGGCCAGTCTCTTCATTCTGTTGACAGTGCCTTGGACTTACAAACTTTCATGTGCCCTGCCCAAAATAATAATGGTTTAGTGTTGCCCAACTTGCTGGTTCCTGGCTAGCCAGTGTCTCACTTGCCAGTGCTATACTTTGGAATCACTGAAACCACTACTGAACTCCTGTCTTGAGGACCGTACTTGCTTCTATGCCATGCCATCTCACCAAAGCTTGTCCTTCGCTGCAAACAAAAGCAAGAAACTTCACGAGGCTGCCAGGGTTGCAACAAAATTCAGTTGCTGCACTGCACGCAGAACACCTGGGCTGGTGAAGCATGTTGAACTTGAATTTGAACCACTAAGTGCAGTGTTTGCCCCTCTGTCTGTATTACCCTAGTCCTCCTGAGCCATTGGTTATACCTCATTGTTAGGCTGGGCAGCAAAGTCTATTTTTCCTTTATGTCTACACACCATGAAGTATATACAATGAAGTACTTGTCTGTGTGTAGGTCATGGCAACTTGTGAGCTAGATATTGACTGGCCGTCACAACCTATGGTCTATGATCACACCTCTAACCATAGGCACATTGTATTGTGCAGCTGTGGTCAGATGGTACACACATGTGTCCACTAATGTTTAAATAACGTTTTCCTTAACAATCAACTCTGATCAGGATCCAAGTCCAGGGATGTGTTAGAACTGGCCAGTCTCCATTTAGTTTACAGTTGTTGTCCAGCATGTAGGGAGAGACACATGGTTAGGTAGTGATGGGTCCATCAAATGCAGTGAGCTGTTGCAGTAGCACTTGCAAATCAGGCTGGGGCAAGAGTTAATTTGGACTTCTAGAAATAGACGTTCCTATTTTAAAAACAAATTAAGTACAAAAATTGATCATAGTGCAAAACTAGTATAAAAATGCCTGCGAGGTAAATGGTGTGGCTCTAAACAGGTCTCAGAAATCCCAGGGAATGCTGAAAGCAAAGGGAATGAGTCATAAGCACATGAGCTGAAAGAAGCTGAAGACAAAATCATGCATCTCTGCTTAATTCCATCACATGATGAGTCCTGGGGCCCTTCATTTAATCGGAGAGCAGAGAAGCGGAGAAACTTCATTCTCACTTCTCAGTGGGGACTGGAGGAGTTCCCGTGTGCAGGCACTGGGCACTCTCTACTCCTCTGCGCACGCTGAGCCGACGCAGCGTCTCCGGCACCATGAGCAGTGTTCACCGCCACCTCGGATTCCTGCTCCTGACCGAAGCGGTGCTGTGTGCTGCCGCCACACGTGAGTGTTTCCTTCACCCCGTCCTCTCTCCCTGCCCCTGCGGGTTCGACAGCCCAAGCCAGTGCAGTAAAAACGGCTGCTCCTTGCATGTGCAGTGACTGCTGGAGCTGTGCTTGGGAACTGGTGCGAGACAGCTAGCTCCACCTCAGAATCACCTGGCTCTGGGTAGAAATGTCACCTGAGCTGGAGAAATACACCAAGAGCTGTTCAGTTACCTATTTCCTGCGCTCCACAGATACACGGAGCTGACCGGAGCTAAGCCTTGGCTCATTTCAAGAAATTCGTAACAATATTTCCCCAACTCAAGCGTAGCTAAAAAGGCAGATGCAGAATGGACTTCTCCCAGTGTGCCCAGCTCAGCTGTGGCTGGGAGAGACCAGGTCAGAGGCAGTGCTTCCCACTGGGAGACCCAGACCTGTGGATCCCCAACCTCAGGGAGGCTGATCAAGGAATTAGGTCCTCAAACCACGATGGGCAGGCAGTGGGCTGGTCCTCTGCTTCTTTCCAGGCCCCCAGCTTGACTCAAGTCTTAGGCTGACTCCCTGAGCTCAGGGCTGGGAACACAGAAATGGGATTTTAGGCTCAAATTCCAGAATCTACAGTAAGGAAACAGAAGACCTTAAAAGCTGAGGTCCGGCTGAGTATCCATTTAGCCTTGTACCTGTCTCCAATGGGAAACAGTAAGGGATACATAACTGGGCAAGTGTATACTGGTATTTCCTCAGGACACTTTCCCAGCCTCTGGTGATTTATAGCGCCAGAACTGCCTCTATCAGATGCAGAGTCATTGTATTTAACAGTTTTTACTGGACTTTTCTTCCATCCGTTCACGCACTTGGGTTTTGATTGCAAGCCATGTATATTTTTGGCACACACAAGATCCTGCCAGCAAGAAATTTCACACCTTAACTGTGCCTTACATGAAGAAATATCTTTTATGCGCTTAGAACCTGTAACCTGCTGGTTTCATTTGATCCTCCTTAAGTTTTGTACTTTCAGAAATAGTGACAAATTGCTTCTTCCTCCATGCTGTTCGTGATTCTGTTTTTATATTCTCCTCTGTCATCTCTTCTCCAGGCTCAAGACACGGTCTATTTAGCTGTGCCTCATAAGGAAACAATTCTATCCCTTTGCAGCATCCTCGCCACCTTTTTCTGTATTTTTTTCAGTTCTCTTATACCCTGCTTGACCTGTAGAGAACAGGGCAGCATACAGTATTCAACACATGAACACACATGGAATTATACAATGCTGTAATGACATTTTCATCTTCATTCTCTATCTATCTAGCCTTTCCCTAGTTTTTCAACTACCAGTGAGCACTGTATTCAAAACTGTAAAGCTACGAGATCTCATTTCTGAGTGGCCATAGCTAGTTTAGAGTCTGTTGTTCTATAAGTAAAGTTACATTTACCTATGCTGAATTTCATATAGTTGTATTCTTGAGTCATTGAGTCTCACACAGTCCTCCCCTCTACTACTTTAAGACACTGTCTTCAGCAGATTAAAGAACTTCTTTACTGTTTACCTGTTTTCCAGATGATGAACATTTTAAATTATTTCAACAATTGAGAAAACTGGCTACTTATGCATAACTTTTGGTTCATATATCCTAACCAATTATTTATTCATGTGAAATCCCTCATTCTTATCCCACGGTAACTTAGTTCCTTTAAGTGCCTTTAGCGAGAGACCTCATCAAATGTGTCTGGAACTCAAGCAGACTATAAGAAGCAGGTCAGCCTTGTTCCCATGCTCTCTGGCTCCCTCAGCGAAACTTGAATATATTTGTGAGGAATGCGCTCCTTTTACGGCATATCATATTAATCCACTGTATCTGCTAATTCTGTTCTTCACTGCTGTTTCTACCAGCTTCTCCAATTTGAGCCTCAAACTTTTTGTAATCCTCTAAATCTTCCCTGGAAGTGTTTTTAAAGAGTGTCATAGCATTTGCCAACTTTCCTTTCTCGGCCACTGAAGCAGTTTTAAGCAAGATGTTACATGCTATGGTTAATAGCTCATTTATTTCATTCTTGAATAACTTCCATAATTTTTGAGCCATCCTATCTAGACAACTTCATTTTGTTGATTTGTTCTATAATTTTTTTTTTTGTGCCAAAACTTCATTTTGAGAGAGACTCTCCATCACTGTAAAGAAAAATTCTAGCACAGAAACCTCTTATACTCCTCCTTTGTGAATGAAAATGTAAAGTAACATATTTGACTTTCATGCTATCCCTTTACCTTCCCTGAATGCTTCTTTTGTATCTACATAATCTTTTGGCCCTACAGACTTTCTGGCAAGCTATCCACTACTTTTGTATTTGAAAAAAAGATTAATTAGTAGGTTTTATGTTTTTCCAAGTTGTTCCTCAAATTCTTTTTTGCCCTGCTTTATTATGTTTCTATATGTAACTTTAGAAAGATTACATTATTTTCTGTCTTCTTAGCTTGGCCATAACATCAGCCTTTTTACTTCTAATACATTTTCATCCTCTTTAGCTAGGTCATCTTTTTATTGCTGTTATTCTAACATTGGCTTTCATTCTCTCATGGCTAACACACTATCACGGGAAACACTGAGCTTCTTGTCTTTGCTACATTTTTCACCAAAATGAAAAACAGAAAGAGAAGAAGAAAGTCAATCAGAGTATAAGATCTTTTCTCCTATGATCACCTCACCAAAACTATTACAGTAATCTGCTCCTTAGAGTGTAATATTACTCTATTTTGAACTGAATTGCTCTAATTTTGGTTATGATGACCAACATCTGTTCTTGAGTGTTTTTCATTGTTAAAGAAATACATTAAAGCTTTTTGTTCCTTTAAATTCAGCAACTGAAAATCTTCAGTTCGATGTGTTAGAGAAACTAGTGCTGAAGTATTTGCTCATCTGAAAAAATGTCTTTTGTCTTGTCCTGAAGCTTGTGAAATGTTTTATATTAGATTGAAATAAACAAAGCACATCAGGGAGGCACAGAAATGCCTAAGGAGCTTGTGATTTAGAAGCAGTGACCACAATTATTACCAAAGCTGGACAAGAAAATGACTTCTGAATTCAAGGATTGTTAATGAAAATTCGAAATTAAAAGCATTTATAAAATTAAAAGTGTTCCAGCTCTTTTTGATGAATTGAGCATTTGGGAAAAAAAACAATGATTGAAATGTTCTGATCTAACAAAATTCAAACATTTTTATTCATTAAATAATTTTTAGATAAAATCAAAGAGAATGGGGAAAAGAAATTAGGAAAAATCCCTGGCCGCTTACTTTCAAATAAGATTACGCATGAATTTAATGACCTAAAATGTAATTGAACTTGATAAGCCTTTGTGAAATACTTTTATACTTTCCTAATCTGTTTTTTTCCTGAGAAAAGTTTCTGAAGGACATTACCCAACTCTTCTTCTGACCAAGACTGAAAACAATACAGCATGTGATACAGGCCATTAAGTAAATACCAGTCATGATGTTATGTTATGCTTTGCTCACATCAAAATACATTAAATCTGCAGGGAAGACTTGATTCAAGTGATTTAAGTGAGACTGTGGGGAGTTCCTGTAGGAGCAAAAGACCGTGAGAGAATATGTCTCTGAGGGCAAAATCTGTTTTCCTTGAACCTTTCAGTCCTCAAGACTTGGGAGAGAGCTACCAGCGTCAGTTCGGAGTGACCATTAGGATGGGACTGGCCAAGGGATGTCCTTCCTGCCCAGCAGAAATCTCACTGGGCAATAAAACACCAAGAGAAAGCAGCTTCTGCCTCTTCTTCAGTGCTGTTTCTCTGGTTCTCCCTTGCAGTAAAATTAGGAGTCCCATGCCCATAAAGACCATGCTTAAACTGGCTACACCTGTTCTGTGCCTTTTCCAAAACTGGGAGATATTCCAACACAGCCAGTTACATTACAGCACACAGGGCCATTCTTGCCCTTCTTACAGGTCTCTGCATTTTCCTTGAAGTCATCCAACTCTTCGTTGCACTTGGGTATAAATCTCAGAAGCATCCAACATCAGCTACCTTTAAAATAAAGCCATGAACAGCAGAAATCCTAACTCCCTTGATGTTGTTACAGAATGGCACGCCTAGCAGTTAGCTGATTAACATGACAGAGCTGTTTAAAGCCCCCAGGCTTTAATGGAACTCTGCCGATGAGCCTACTTACAAACATATTTTTATGGCATCCTACAGTGGTTGACATGTTCCTACAGGTTACTTGGATATTTACTTTGCTTTTCATTATATGTACTTCATGACAGAAAGACGGATCCTAGAAGGCCTGGGAAAAGTTTGAGCCCATCATTTGTAGTAATATGAGAAGAGCGAGCTTATTAAAGTTACTTAATATCTGAGCCATTTTAAAGTAATAGGCATGAAGCTAATACGTTTTTGTTGTTATATTATAAACACATTGAATTTACTATTCAGCTCTAAATTTCCTTTTCTGGAAATATCAGCTTCTGTTACAATTGGTTCCACCCCTACCACCCAAACCACCAGCCAACTCACCAAAGAAGCTTCACTGGGTCAAAATTAATTCCTGGCATAACTTCCATTAGAGCACAACTCAGACACAGAGTGAACTTATCCTGTTAGCCTTTTACTCATAGATTTATCACCAGGCAAGCACAAAGCAGTCAGCAATCAAGCAACCTGTGTACAACTAGCCTGATTGTTGCCGAGTTATGTCCATTCATACAAACAATTGCTCTGATGTTGTCAAAATATTGTAAACCTTTTTATTCTTTCTCTGGAAAGCTTGCAATAGTGCAAGTAGAAAAACATCAGTCTGTCAGTAGTGGAATTGTCTTTATGTTGGTTATAGTTGATGTGTTTATAGCTGTGATGATAAAATTCTGTAACTTTCTACTGGTGAAGAGATTTCTAATCAGTACAAGAATATAGTTGTAATAAGAAGGCTGTTCAGCATAAGAGCAATATCTTTATAGGGTGGCGGGAAAAATGCTATTACGTTACATGTTTGTTTTTCTCTCTAGGGTTTCAAGATGTGCTGAGCCACGGAAGAACTTCTGTCACATCCTACAAGAAGCTACAAGGCTGGTCTAGTGATCAAAATAAATGGAACGAAAAGCTTTATCCTTTCTGGGAAGAAGGAGATCCCAGATGGAAGGACTGCTGGAAAGGTGATTGCACATAGGCATTTCAAAGACACTGAGAAAATTGGCCAGAAAACCCACCTCATTGAAGAGTGCAGGTGCTATAGTGCTTTTTCACAGATGCAATATCCACCACTGCTGCAAGGAATAGCAAATTAGAGATGACTGGCTTTGGTACCATTCCCAGTACATTGTCTGAGGAAGAAGAACAGTGAGTTGTTACGGTGAATGCTTTCCCATGACTCATAGTCTCAGACATTAATACTTATCAAGCCATATTGATGATGAGGGCTCTAGGACAACCCATTATTTGAAACATGTCCTGAAGGACAGGTAGCTTCAACTGCTACCTCAGTAGGGCATTGTGGGCTTCAGTTTGCCAACTTCAATGAAGGCCCTGTTTATTATCACCCCATCTGAGCTGAGGTCTAAAGGCTGCATCCCTGGGGAGAAACAAAAATATTCTCCTTTGGAATATATTGACCCCCATGGGTAAAAAACCATATTCTTAGCTTTAAGAAGGAAATGAAGAACAGACCAGTAAGTGATGTGGGGGGATATGATGAGTCCCTCTGATTGTTCTAAGTTGAGGTTTTGATAAGAGTGCAAGTGATTTAGGAGCACAAAACCCCTTGGAAACAGAGGAATCAATCAAGCATTTCTAATGTAAATAGTGCACAGCTGAAGGTAGCTGCTGTTCTGATGCATCCTTTATTGCACTGAAGACCAATTTTCTTTTATACAGGTGGAAGGGTGACAGCCAAATTGGACACTGATAGCCCAGCACTGGTAGGATCCAACGTGACCTTTGTTGTGACTCTCCAGTTTCCCAAGTGCCAAAAAGAAGATAATGATGGCAACATAATATACGAGAGAAACTGTACCCAGGGTAGGTAAAGGCAGTCTCCCTGTGCTATACACGCATCTGACTATGGTGCTGGGGTGAACATGTCATGAATCTTTTAAAACATCAGAGGCACACTCTATGAACAACAGCCATGTTGCTTTTAACTGATAACTACACGCATGTCTAACCTGTGCCACACCAGTTTCTCTCCTCAGAAGATCACTGTGGTATTTTCACTGTTCTGTACCCACTATATATAATGACTAGGTAATTTAAGATTTGCCTTCACTATAAAATTGCCTTCCCAAAACAGTGATGTTAATTTCGCTTCCTAACAAAACTGTTACTGCTTTTCAGCTCAGTCACAAGGTTGCAGAGTTACACTGTTTTCTTCCAAATTTATAAAGCTGTCAATTTATAAAATTGAGATTTTTTTTTCAATTAGGAATTGTAGAACTCACTAACCATCATCTGCATCTTGAAAAACCCTCAAGAAAGAGTAAATCTCACATTCCCACATTTTAAGAATTAAAAACAATCAAGAAAATAAATCATTTTAAAATCAAGCAATCTTTTGATCAATCACCTTTTTTAATCTTTTTTACAGTTACATGGAGCAAAAAAACTATCATCATTCCAATGTTTGAGGCTACCAGATCTAGAGTGAAACAGGCTGTTGTACATTTCTTCCTCTGAATTCATAAATGTTCAACAAAGTTTTTTATTGATCAAAGCAATTTCATTTCCAGACATATCAGCAATTTTTTTTGTCAGCCTGAGTTCTACTTTTTGACTGTCTAATGTTTTGTTAACTGCTGATATCCATTCTCTACTTAATATCTGTTGTGCTGTTTGGGGAAGGAAGCTGTCCTTTTATTACTTAGAAAGGAACTGAAATTCATGTCTAAGTTATTTAAAGGTGCCATAGAAAACTTTTCTGACAAAACAAACTAAGTCACTTCCTCAAGTGCTTCCATGGCTGCTATTTCTACTTAAAATTTTAGATTCTGCTTGCCAAATGTTCAGGTAGCCCCACTAACTCCATTGAAAGAGTAGCATCCTGTGTAGTCAACAGCAACTTTTCAGCAAGCAATTTTAAATCATGTCTGGCCCGTGAGACAGTAAAATTTTTTTAAGCTTCTAAATAAAACAATGCCAAGCCAGAACAATCTGGTGTTTACATTAAAAACCAAACAAAGCACAATCTTATAAAACCAAATGTCAGTCTAAAAATACCTCACTTAAGCTGTTGTTTAAGTGCAATAACTGCTATAACCTGGGGTGCCTGCCTCCTGTTTCCTGACTTTCTGCACATTTCTCAGTTGACCGGGAACATGTCCTATTTCTACACTTAGATCCTCCAGCTTCCCAGGATCAGCAAGTCTATGTCTACAACTGGACTGAATGGATCGACAACTGTGGCTGGGAAAACTGCACAAGCAACCACAGCCATAATGTATTCCCAGATGGGAGACCTTTCCCTCATTATCCTGGCTGGAGAAGAAGGAACTTTGTCTATGTGTTTCACACGTTTGGTTAGTGCAGCAAGATATCCCTTGGTCTGGCTGATGCTACAAAGCTTATATTCACTCTGTACACTAACTCATTTGTCGAGTATGTTTTAGTAAAAGTTCTTTAAAAAGGATTCCATGCTCTTGAGTGGAGATCCCAAATTCATTCCCTGCTTTCCAGAGAGGCTATTAGCTGCTCGGTCGGGAAATCACGGATTACCAGGAGATTCTCTTTCTTCTGCATTCACAGTACTACCACTGAAGAAGATTAATTTCCTTTCAGTAATACTCAAGATCCTTTCCTAGGAAAACAGAGGGTCCAAGCAGTCAGTCAGATGTTTTGTTGACTGCTCATTGCCACTTCAGATTCTTAAATTTAAGAGAGACCATAGTGCTGTATATCTTCTGATCAGTTTAACGGTGCAGCACTCCTTGCCTCTGGGGAGGTGAAAACTGCCACTGACTGTATGGTACTGATCTGGCCGCAGATGCCGATTTTCAGTATCGGTTGGGCTATTCCTGACATTGGCTACATACTAAATCTTAGTATCCTAAGTTAGCCTGGCTAAATCAGTATTACCATCAATATCAGCATGAGTAATAATAGTAATGTCCCAAATTTTGTGTAGAGGTGATACTATTTACCTACCTCAATCAGCTGTTACAAAAACAAACAAGCAAATGTATACAAAGGGTTTAGGGTATGAAGCAAGAGGTATTATACCTTCTTGCTACACTGAAAGCATACAAACACAAGATCACTTAAAATGCCTAAGAGGTAACACCATCCACTACATAATCCTAATGACTTAATGTAATTGCTTTGGAAAGATGTAGATGCCTTGGCAAATTTCTCTTAGGTTAGCAAAATTTGAGACACCTTTCTGACACCTTCAAAAAACCCACAGAAATAACAGGAGTAAATACATTGTAAATGTATTCAGTCCTCCAAAAACACCTGCCAGATAACTGAAAGACAATTCTAAACTATTCATTTTGATTTAGACAATCCGAGATTCACAGAGATATTGCTTCTCTTAAAACAACTCATAGCTAGGCTGAAGGGGTAAACATATTGTAAGTTCATGTTCTGTTTCAGGTCAGTACTACCAAACAACTGGACGATCTTCAGTGATGTTTTCAGTCAACACAGCAAATATCACTCTTGGCAAACATGTGATGGCGGTATCCATTTACAGGAGAGGGCACTCAGCATATGTTCCAATTGCAACAGCAAGTGCCATTTATGTTGTAACAGGTAAGCATGCTGGAATAAATTGTAATAAAATACTAGGGGTATTTGTTGTTTAGGTGTCAGAAGAATTCAGCACAAGCATCATCTGGCACGAAAAGAAGACATTGGCTTGAGAAAGGTTTTTAATATGGATGTGGAATCTCTGGTAAATTGCCTTGAGTAGTGTAATTTACCTTTGTATCTAGCTCAGTTGTGATGCCTCTACTTTGTAATGAAAAATTATTTATGAGAGGAAACACAATCTTCCACAGATGCCTGTGATTCCTCATTTCTTCCCATACTTTTCTGGGTAACACTTTCCTACTGACATTCACTCCTCAGATCAGTAAATCGAATTAAAGTAGAAACCCATGTTAATGTCTCACATTTTGACTGTTGCTGTTCAGGGACTTTGGAGCTGTTTGTTGTTTGCAGCCAGGTATGTATGCTTTATTTATTTACTTCTTTTTTTTTCCCCTCCAGACAAAATTCCAATATTTGTGAGTATGTTCCAAAAACATGACCGCAACATCTCAGACTCCATTTTTATCAAAGACTCACCAATCACATTTGATGTGAAGATCCATGATCCCACCTACTATCTTAATAACTCTGCCATCTCCTACAAGTGGAACTTTGGAGATGGAAGTGGCTTATTTGTAGCCAGCAGTTCCACTACAACTCACACCTACACTCTGCAAGGGAACTTCACTCTGAATTTAACTGTCCAAGCCATTATACCTGTACCTTGCCAGCCAGTAACACCTACTGCACTACTGCCCACCTCAGCAGGTAAGAGTTTATTGAAGAGCAGTGGTATTAGGAGCTATGCTAAAACTCTAAATTCTGGTATTTTAAGTTCGTATCTTTAGAAGTTTTACTGTCATCAATGAAAGAGCTGCAAGGCTCTGCAAACCCTCTATAAATTGGTTTAGAGACAGAATCAATAAGCATAAACTCTTCTATGATTCTACAGTAGGCATCACTTACACATTTAACACATTACATATCCAGTTCTACTGCAACAGTGACAGCATACAGAGGTCTTCAGATGGACATGCAGTACATATAAATTTGGTTTTACACCCTCTACCACACCAGGTCAAGTGACTTTAGCCTTGCCTACTCAGGTTCATCTTCTGAGGTAAGATGTAAATTTTAAGTGAGAAAGAAGTATTTCAGAACACTCTTACAGTCAGTTCCTTTCTGGTTTGCATTAACTTCCACCCAAAATTAAAAGAGATTGGATTGAACTAGAAGAAAGTTACTCATATTCCAAAATATGGGATTTGCACATGGCATTAACCCAGAATGGCTTTTCCACTTTAAATTTATGCACTATCATATTTCAGAATAACTTTCATTATGTTCAGCATTGGTTTATCATCTCAGGGGGGTTTAAGGTTTGTAAAAGGCCTGCAGTTTCAGCCTGGGTAGTTATAATACTACTACTATTAAATTATAAATGTGGCTATATTTTTCAAATTTCAGAATTTTAATATGTGCTTTTACCAAAATGTTGAGTGAGAATGAAAAATGAAAGGAAAGATATAATTTTCACTACTTCCCCTCTTCATTTTTCCACTAGCTGTAATGTAGAGCAATGGGAAAATACCTGCTATTAAAGAGAGCGATTTAAACCTTTTATTGGCCTTTGGATTTCTTCTAGAATTGATTTAGGAATTTTAAAGAAGTGTTTAATTACATAAAACCTTTCACTCTCACTTTTATTTCACAGAGTTGGGTGACTAGCAATGTGGCTTTTAGAGTAAGGCTACCCAGGCCACTCCAGGGTTCTATGCTGGGCATGTGTGTTTTCTTTAAGCCTTATTACTGTGATCCCATACAGATACACACATGACTGCACAGCTGCAAACCAAAGTCACTAATGACCTATGTAATGAATGCAGTTGAAATATATGGCCATGTTCAGAATACCTGTAAGCTGAACTTGTTCTAAAGCTGTGTGTCTATTCTTTCTCCCTCAACTCAACAGTAACGACTGGAGTATCTTCTAATTCAGACACTTCTACCGCTGTCGAGTCAATGGAAGATAATCCTGATGGAGGCTGCCATATTTACAGAAATGGATACTATAGAACTGGTATCTCTATCGTAGGTAAGGATGTAGGTCAACACCTGAACAGAGGAATGGGGTTAATAATGTACAACAATGTATGGTAGAGATAATTTTTCTTTAGGCTTCCCTTTATCAAATACCTAAGACCCACAATAAGATCTTTATTTTGGACCTAGCTGACATTTTTAAAGACTAATGTACAGACAGCTAACTGGCTGACTTCGGTCTCTTTACATGCTCTGCCAGGACCTAGCAGCAGAGGTTATAGCCCCTTGGTTTCAGACACATGAGGCTGGGCCTTGGTCTGGATGCCTGCTGATGGTTGCCCCCATGCTACCTGTGGTGTTTCCAGGCACCTGGGCTGGAAAATGGCTGGCAGGGATGTGCACCATATCACTACTTTCTGTATCATCAGCTTCTGAACCTGCCACACCTGAAGCATACCGGCCTGGGGGGGTCACATAAGGTTGTATTGACCTTGGCATGCACAGAAGTCACGTGTAGTGGGAAAGGGAAGTAACTGTAAAATAAATAAGTAAATAATAATAATAGAAAAATAAAGCGGAGCAGAAAGGAGCAGCCTCACCGGGAAAGCACTGGAAATTTTCTCAGCTTTCAAACCCTTCAAGAGGAGTGCTAAGGGAGGGAGGAGGTTATGGAAAACAAGACTTGAACTGAGCATCAGCCAAACACTTGAGGTTCTATACACACAGACTTCAGAGCTTGTCATGTGCCCTACCATTGACATCTGTTTCCTCTCCCAGAGGGAATCCTTGAGGTAAATATTATTCAGATGATGAGCATCCAGATGACAGAAAGTCAAGCTGAAAACTCACTGGTTGACTTTGTTGTTACCTGCCAAGGGAGGTAAGTGTGTGAATGAAACTGTCAATCTTCCCTCTTTAAAAATAATTAGGTGCTGGAATGCTGTCTGCACTTAGATGCAGCTGCATGAACAAAAGTTGGGAACTGCAGTGTTTCTATTTCTTGACTGGAACTAAAGATAATGCAAGTCTCTTTTGTAAAGTATGGCAACAGAGGTTACTGCCAGGCTCTTAGGATTCAGAACAAATGTCAAGCTTCAGTAAAAATAAGAGAACTAGACAGTGGGGAGAAACAAGTCTATATTTTCCTGGCCAAGACAAGATTTCAGCACTTACTGTAAAATGGGAAGCAGTCTACTGAAATTGGAAGGAAACCCTTTCTTTTTGGCCATGGTTTTTCACACTTAGAGTAAATGGGTGTGTCCAAGCAATTTCTTGGATAGGAAAACATTGCACTAATACTCCTAGCTCCTAGAAGGGGATTAGAGTTGAGAGGACTGAGAAGTACAAGAATCATCTTGGTAATACAACTGGAAAACAATTAACCTCTCTTAAGCTAGCGTTTACATTTTCGGCACATGATACTACAGATAAGAATCTGCATTCCTTTCTTAATGATGTGTATTACAGGTAACGGACTTTATAATCCGATTTGAGGCAGGTAATTCTTTGATCACCATAAAATGTTAAATGAGATGTAAAAGAAGCAGATAATTTTATAGATTGTATATATCCATTTTGTATAAAATCCACATGTATGTATATAGAAAATGTATAGGTATATATAAAATACATATATAACGTATTAGTAAAACCACTCTTAAATCACTGTAGCGCCACTGATTTCAGTAAACAGGCACCAGCATAAAACCGGGGCATCAGTGCAATGTGTCTATGAACTGGGTTAATAGGACTCCACAGGTGTAATGTGTTCTCTCTTCCCATACCAGTCTCCCCACAGATGTCTGTACAGTAGTTTCTGACCCGACGTGCCAGGTGTCCAAGAGTGTGGTATGCGACCCCATCATCGTCACTGATGAATGCCTACTCACCATCAGGAGAGCTTTTGAGGAACCTGGAACATACTGTATAAACATCACCTTGGGGGATGACACAAGTCAAGCCCTTGCCAGCGCACTGATTTCTGTAAATGGAGGTGAGTCCACACAGAGCAGATGCGGGTTGTCTGTGAATAGCTTCTCCCTGTGGTCATTTCCCTGCAGCGGGGAAGAGCACAGGAATTTATATGGCATTTTTATTATGCCTGGAGGCCTCAGCTGAGACTGTGCCAGCTTGTGTGAGAGTCCATGCAAAGATAAAGGACGATTCTTTCCCTATGGGAATTTTAGATGTTAGAACTTGGTTTGATTTATGTTTACGATCCAATGAGTATAGTAATTACACAAACCCTTCAGTATTACAGAATATGAACTGTTCTTAAGCCATAATGTATTTTTCCACAGAATAACTCTGTTGGGCAGAAAAGCAGGTGGGGGACATACCAGCCAGCCTACTCCACACATGGAGAAACAGAGAGGAATTCAGCTCACTTGAGACAGAACCAAAGTCTGCAGCTGAGCTGGCTGCCCTGGGCCCTCTTTGTAGCTCATTGACCTTGACCAGGTTTCCATTTCTACATGAGGATAAGATGAATTAGGTTCTGGAAAGATCTATGTAACATTCATTGACTACAGAGCCTGCCCAGGGTGACTATTTCAGAACAGGAGGTTTACCTTTGGTTGGATGAGTATCAATGTGTCTTGCTCATGGTTGCCCAAGCAGTCTTTGACAGACCCAGGTATTAAACTGAGCCTCAGTCAGAAGAATAAATGATCGTGCTGTCTCTCTGCTCCCACTCCCATTGCCCTCCTGACCTCCCACTGCAATGTCATAGTGACTCTTCTGTACCAGCGAAGCAACTGACCCTTTGCAGTCATTTGCCACAGTATTTTTGGCTGATTTTATTTAATCTGGGTATAAATTTAGCTGTACCGAAATCAGTTCATGATGACTAAGGCACAATGCCTGACCTATAAGTGCATTCCAGCTCCTAAAGGTGAAGATAAGCATGCAGTAGGATTTTTCCAAACTGTATTCACAGAGGCTAACTTTAGCCCAGTAAGGCTGGTCTTCCTAGATTTCCTCCAGAGGGCAAAGCTAAGTTGTACTTTGGGGCTTCCACTATAATCAAGGCAGAATTAGAATCTAAGAGACGTTGCTGCTTTGAGTCACCTTCTGGAGGAGCCCATCTAACATTTGCAAACATTTCTCATGTGCCACAATTTTCCACTCATTTTTCAAGAGAAGGCAAGTATTTATGAATTTCTGAAAATCCCATAATTTGGTGCCTGAGTATTTGGTGCCTAAACATTGGGCCCTTGAAATTTGGCAGAACTGTGCCTGAGTTATGTAGGCATTGCACAAAACATCCACTCTTAACTTGCTTAAACTGTGTTGAGTGGGTTGCTGTCCTATGATTTAGACCCATCCCACCAGTATGTGTTGCTTTGCAAACTAGTCCAAGGACCTACCTCATTCATAAAATAAGGTAAATCCCTAGAGTCTCAGCAAAAATACTGTGTAAACTAGGAGGGAAGTCAAGCCTTCACAAACAATTGTATCAACAAACTGAGAAATATATGAGGCACATGTATGAAGTAAATGGTAAACCCTGATTTGATATCTCAATTTTCATAGACAGCAATTATAAATTAATAACTGGAAAGGTAAGCCAACACACACCTCTAGGTTACTTCACTGTATAAACACTGTTGTTAAAATGAGGACCAAGAATGTGTCTCAGTGTCAGTAAACTCGATAAAGGTATAGCCTGTGGACTGGAAAATTAAGATATTTAAAAAGAATACTTGTGATGATTTGGCTTCTTCCATCAGATACGATGGAATTAGGAGTAGATGCGAGTGAAATGGTTGATGGCAAACCAGAAGGCAGAGTTCAGTGACAGGCAGAGCTCAAAGTTAATTTCCCAGAATGAGCACATTAAAAAAGCAGAGCCCTCAGCTCTGGATAAGGCAAACAAGCCTAAGTCCATCAATCTCTTAGCCACACTCTGCCATCTTAACATATGGGACTGCAACAAACAATAACATTTAAGAAACTCCTTTCTATCCCCTTTCCCCCGGTCATCATTCCTAAGAGAAAGCTGAAGCTGAATCTAACATTAAAGCTTATAAAGTGACTGCATCTCTTATACTCGCAGTGTAAATGTTTCCCTGGCGTAGCAACTGGCAAGGAGCAAATTAGCTGCACCTCGTGGGGTGCCAGCAAGACCCTCTGTTCCCTTCCATGCTGGAAGGGCAGCCATGTGTCTCAGAAGCATGGCTCATACGAGAAAACCGGCAAAGCCCAACTCACACTCTGGTGGAACCGAGAATTAAACCAATTAGGATGTGAAAGCACCACCTGCTGCCAAAGTCACTGACCTCCAAAGCTTAGCATATTAGAAGTACTAAATGTACTTCAATCTTTACAGCAATCAAGTAAAAATTATATTTTCTTTAGAAAATCTCTCTCACTGTAAAAAAGAGGTTAACATTTAATCAAACTACTTTCTGAACTCTAGGATCATCATCAGGAACAACAGAAGGTGTCTTTATCTTCCTTGGTTTGTTGGCAGTGTTTGCCGCCATTGGGGCTTTTGTCCTTTACAAGTAAGTTGCTAGTTTCTAGGATTAAAAACAGTTCAAGGAACTGTCAAAAATATTAGTTTAAATTAACACAACCAACAACTTAAATTTCCATTAGCTATATTTTTGTTTCTTTTTTATTGTTGTTCACAAATATTCTGGCAAATATTCAAGAAAATCAGGTTACTGGCTTAAGCCACAAAACCACTGGAAAACATGCAAATGTTAAAGACTTTCGTAGAAAATTACATTCTGTGCTCATAAGCACAAACAGTAATACTAGAAGGCCTGGGAACTGCCTGGGAAATAATTGACAAATAAATTCTTTGGGAAAAAGGTGCTAGGCATGCAGGACAGTAGTTAACAGAAGCACATGTTACTGCATTATTAGCCTGGATGTTTCTCATGAAACTTTAAGACTGCACCAAGACTCCTGAGTCAAGAGTATGCTCACCCTTCACAGTCAGTGGTGAGAAAGAAACACCTCCACAGAGCACCAAGACTCCACTAAGCAATGGAGCCTTCTCATTAAACCAGGCCTTAGTTACCATGACTGACCTATGGCTGTTAACTGTTAAATGGGATCGAAGAGGGAAGGAGGAGAAAGAATATATGTTATGAATATATGGTTAATTCTCTTACGCACCAGTCACATGCTAAGTGTGAACTTTCATTTAAATGTCTTTCAGCAACTAACTGTGCACATTCCTTGCAGGAGATACAAGCAATACAAGCCTATTGAGAGAAGTGCAGCACAAGCAGAGAACCAGAAGGGACTAACTGCTTACTTCAGCAATTTCAAAGCAATTTTCTTCCCTAATAGTACTGAGAGAAATCCTCTCCTGAAAAGCAAACCAGGCATTGTTTAAACATTTAGTCTAACACTGACTATTAGATTACATACAGAACTCGTATCTGAACTGTACTTTGATGGGGTTTTCTTGTTGTTATAAAAAAAAACAGGGGGTAAGGTGAAAGCACATGTAGATGGGATGGTAACTTTTGGGGGCTTGGTGAAATTTGAAATATTAAAATAGTCCTTCATAGGAAACAGTAAGGTAGTTTTGAGCACTCGCTGTTCTTGCTTGTGATCTAAGATACACTCTTCTGAATAACTTACACCCCCCTCTCCCTTATCTGGATTTTCTTACTTCTAGGTTAACTACCTGCAAACTAATCAGATCCATAATCTGGAGGGGGAAAACAGGTTAATTTAAAAAAAAACCCAAAACGACCAAAAAACAACTTGTAAATACTTAGTCTTAAATAGACAGTCCAGTATAGCTGCTTGCTGCCTTAGCAGGATTCATGCCTTTGCTAGAAAGACATGGGGGGCAGACATATGTTATGTCTGTGGAATGAAACGTGTCACGGCCTATTCCCAGGCATTGGCACTGAACCACTGACACTCTTACACTGTTCAGGAGGTCCTAGCACAGTCTTGCCCCAGGCGGGCTAGCTCCCCACCAAGCAAACCCCAGATTCTGGGAACCACCAGAGGCACTGTTCCCCACCAGGAGTTTGGCAGCAGCCACCCTGTTTTGCAGGGTTCAATAGCATGGATGCAGCTCATTATATGCCAGTTGGCCTCAGGGCCAGAAAACAGGGCTGGACACATTTAGTTTCCTACTGGACATGGCTACCAGTGCACAAGTCTCACTACAAACTAGACCACAGACACCCGAGCAACAAGATGAGGCCCATCTGCTTGGCTCTCCCTGTTGAAACTTTTACTCTGAGTCCCATGTAAAATCCTTAGATGCAATTGCTGATGCCATCTTTGTCTCCTTTGTTTCCGTTGGTCTTGGAGACACTGGACTGGCACCACTGCTCCCCAGAGGGCAGATATGTGCTCCATGTACAAGGGTCAGCAGAACAAGGGTTCTAGCAGGAAGGGGTAGCATTCAACTCCCTTTTCCCCTTCTCCTTTCATTCCCCTCTCTCCTGCTGTAAAGATATATTAATTTCTGCTCACTCCTCCATCCCTCTGTCTTTGACCAGTTCATCAAATAAATGAAAACCCCAATATAAATAAAGCACTCTGCTCCAGTTTCTGCTTTTGCATGATGCAGCTTAAAAAGCATAAACTTCTGCAAAATGAACGTGCCTTCACTTGTTTACTCTATCTGCAATTCTGTGTTAAGAAAACTCACGTTGAGGCCTTTCCCAAGTGATCTGGTCTTCTAGCCATACATGCTCATCATTCTGCATTGTGGCGTTTCACAGCATGAGACCAGAAGCGAACTGCTGAAGGCTGGATTACTGGATGATGAGAAAAGGAGATCACCTTATTTGTAGATGGGAAGAGGTTGCTAAAAAGTTTCACTGAGATGAGCAAACAGACCAAAAATGCTTTAAATAGATCATTTTCCATAAGAGCCTTGCTGTTAATATTAAAGGTTATAATAAAAATGAAATTAACTTTCATCTGGGGGCTGGGAAAATGACCTTACGCAATCCATTTCTAAACACTGAATTCTTTGAAGATCTGTATTGCAATATAATTAGCTTATTTACCGTGTCTTGGAACATCTCTGATACATATTGTTCTCAGTTCCTGTGGTGATATATAAGCATAAACGTATTTTCCTGGTATCTTAGCAGACCTGTCAAACGCTCATCATTTGCACTACCCCAGTGCACATGGACACCTTTAAATGACTTAAGGATATAAAAAATGCAGATTCCAACATGCCTGTGAGATTAGTTCTTTAGTTCTAAAATTCAACAGCCTCTTTTCTTCTTCTGTTTCCAGGTTCTCCAATTATTTTAACTCCTCTGCGGCCATTTCAGTTATATTACTAAAAGCACCATACTTGCCATTGTTCCATCTTCCTTATATGTAACATCCTATTGTCTAACCGCAAATGGGCATCTAAAACTCTTCTCTGACTTAAACAGAAAACACATTTCCTGCAAAAATTACTGCCTGAATGTTATGTCCTCTGTTATCAGTCAGACTGCTGACAGGAAGGACTGTAATTTGTATTTGTTGCTCTAGCTTGAGGCAGGACAGGGGTTTAGTGGAAAGCTTATGACCTGTAATGCAGCATGAAAAAATTAAATCTGTCACAGCTATAAAGCTTAGGATCAGTGATGACGCAGGCTAGCACTGACCTAGGCTATACGCAGAAAGCATTTTGTTTCATCAAAACACTGTGTGTTAGGAGCTCAGAGACAAATTAAGCTTTTGCATAGAAAACAGCTTTTGGGCGTACTTTATGAACTTTTTTATCCTTTAACCTAAGTATACAGAATAGCTTGCACTATCTTCCTTCAAATATCATGTCAGAATATTAATTTTTTATAATTTGATTTTGCCTTTTCAGCTGTAACTTCCCTTTCATACATCTTTACTTTTATAAAATGGAATCTAACTTCTGTACTCACAAATAAACAATCTAATGATTTTAGAGAGTACATCTCCTTTGTCTCAGAAAAAGATACTGTCAGATAAGCAACTTGATGAGTTGCCTAATTACCAATCAAAACAGTATCTACCTCCAGAAAACACAACGGGATTTGCCTAAGTCTTAGTTCGCTTATGCACATCTGGTACTACTGTTGGTTACCTAGCCATTTTTGCAGTCTCCCTTCAAGTGTACTTGAGGCAATGGCACCACAAACCTGAGAAGTGAGGAGACTTTCTTAACCGGACGACAGCTGAGGAACCCCATTTCAGAACAGATCAGGATACAAATTAATTTCATGTCCTTCAAAGGCAAGAACAGCTGACAAATAACAGATTTGTGAATGTCAGCAAATGTTACAAGACAGGTTTCGGGCACCCCCTTTGAAGAAATAACATCAAAGAATGACATCAGACATAAATGTACATCATCTTTAGAAAGAACATCTTTTCAAACATTTCATCAAGAGAAACGGAAATATTAGCTGGGTAACAAGTTTATTAAAAGTAATTGTAAAAAATAAAGTATTATTTCAAACAGCTTGTCTTCTGCCTCCCCCCTTTTCTTCTTGAACACTTCTTATAGCACACAATTAAGAGACTCATCAGATGTAGCATATTTTTCTTACCAAAAGTATTTCTAAGCTGAAACCAAGGCTAAAAAACACCAGCCCCTGAAGGAATTGTAAAGGAATCAAACTAAACTTTGCAAGAGACAACCAGACACTGTGGCCTGTTAGTATAACTGACCACCTCCAGCCTTGTACAGCATACTCAAATTTCCTTTAAAGCTAAAGCTTTTATCACTACAGGTCTTTATAATTCACAAGATTATGCCTTTTAAGCCTTAACACCATTGTTTTATCATCATACTCGGTGAGGGAGGGAAAAACAGCCTGAACGGTAATTCTTTTATTTTACTGTCAGTGTAAATGCCAACATCTCTGGAGGAAGGGGGTGGAGGGAAACAGGTTTCTCCCACAGTAAGTACAAATGCTTGAACTTGCCTAGGTCATAGCTTTTTAACCCTTGACAACACTCTCTACAGCAAAACAAACATAGCGAGACTACTGCCTTGCGCCCATTAACACCGTGTGGGAATTACACAAACGTAAAACACACGTTCCCAAGAAAAATGTGCTAGTTTCAAACCAGCTGCGGCTTTTCAGGCAAAACCATAGCCTTTAGCGGGGCGCACAAGGCTCGAACTGGGATACGTGAGTAGGGGTCACACGGCAGTGCCCACGTTCTGCGTCTGCTCCTTTCCAGCTTCCCAAGCACCCACCGCAGCAGAGCGCGGGTTACGGGTGCCCAGGTCCCCTCCCCCCCCGCCCCGATCCCGCCCCTTTTACCGCCCCGTGGCTCAGGCACCCCTCAGAAAACACTGACGCGGAGCACAAAACGGGGACCGGGAAGCCGAGGCCGAGCCACTGCCCGCCCCGACGTTCCTATCTACACCCCCAAACCCCCGCACCGGGGCTCCGACAGAGGAGCGGGGAAGCCCCGGGGCTGGGCCGTGCGAGGGCGGCACATGACGGCCCCGGCGGCCGCTCCTCGGAGAGGAGCCGCTCCTCGGAGAGCGCCCGCT